GTAAACCTTTCAATGTTATAAGGAGTTACGGTCTCAGGATATGTAAGATTCAAGGCAATACTCCAAGGGACACCGAGTTGATCAATATTGATGGTTGGATCAGGCGTGATCACAGTTCGAGCTGAAAAATCTACTCTCTTGCCCATCAAGTTACCTCTGATGCGACCTTCTTTTGCCTTGAGCCTGCTACATATAGATTTTATTGGTCTACCAGATCTTTGCGTAGCCTATAGTAAACAAAGGCACTCCTCCAGTTAGACATAAGGTGTTCAAGGAAATTAATTAGAGAGTGCCAAACTCGAACAAACAACCATACCCTCGGTTGTCCTGGTAATTCATTGTCAAAGTACGTTGCTACGTGAAACTGCAGCAACTGTGCAAACTCTGAGATGATATGTGCAGGAGCCCCGTTCCTCTCTTGCCTCTTCAAGTTCTCATTGTGCCTAATGATCATCGCCAGTTGATGAGTTAAATCATCCTGCATCGAGATAACCAAAATCAGATCCCCCCAACTTAAATAGCAGCAAGCCGGGAGTAACTGAGAAAATAACTCAAAACATACTACTTATCAATCCCACATAATACAATATATGTCTAACAATTCAGTACACTGGACACGAATATTTATAGAAATAAAGAAGCACCTCACTCCTAGCAGAAGTATCCATCATAACAGAAGGTCTAACAGGAGGAGGAGGGATTGGAAGAACTTGAAGAATCATCCAGTCCGGACGAGCATATTTAGGATTTAAACCCAACAATTGACAGTCTTCGTCAGTTATTCTCTTCAGAATGCTAAGAACCTGAAAAGAAAATTAATTACAAATAAATTAGCAACATGCATCAACGAACATAACCAGTTTAGAATATAAACGTGAATGTCACTTATTTTAGCAAAGTGGCATACAATACCTTCTCTGCTGAAAGAATCTGTTTTCTTTCAACAGGTTCAGGCATCTGCTCCTGGTCATCACTTTTCTTCTTCTGGAGCTTGTATTCAGCAACCATCTTCATTCCATCAATAGATATTTTTGGCTGCTGAGCGCCACATCCACCTCTGCTCTTCTTCAAAGGTTCAGACTCTTGACCTTGCACATCAATGTCATCACCTCCTTCACATTTGCTTTTGTTTTTGCAGATATCCAATATCTTCTTTAGTCTATTTTTGGGGTTTCTTATTCTCAATGCTTGCTTGAACTTTGAGTCCTCCTACACGATTATTGAGAAAAGTTTATCACCAGAAACTATAGTCGTCTACAGTTACATTCCATTACATGGATTCTCTCAAGCAGCAAATTCAAGTAATTAAAGAAAGGTATTGGCTCATTGAACAGCACTATTAACATGAAACCAGCTGCATCAAGACCAAACAACAAATCAAACAGTTTCATAGTCAATATGCATTTCAATAAAATATATCATTTTGAAGACATCACCATCACTAATGATTCCAAACTAGGTCAATAGGCAAGGGCAAGCTTCAAGTGTATAAACAATCCAGTTAGCCTTAGAAAGGTGTATCAAGGTCATCAGGCAATGGATATCAAAGGGGCTCCTCCATATGCTACATGTGAAAGGCTGGTCTATATAATGTAAGAGTTGTCTAGCCTTCAGTATGGCATCCTACCACAGATATTTATGTTACATTAACAAATGTAGCATCACAGCAACTAAAAACAGACACGAAACCTGACAATGGTCCAACTAAAATGGTTTACACGACTTTTTTGCTTAGTTTGGCATGATCTGTCAGGAAATCTATCTTTAATGGAATGCATTCAGCAGTTCCTATAGTTAGACAATGTGATATGACATCAAAGAATTCCCTACGAGAACAATAAAAAATGAAAAAAGAATAGTTCAAGTTACTCAAAATCCTAACTTGGAAGGTTTTTACTTCAATTGCACTAGACCCAAGAAGTTCTAATCTACTCCTGAGCTTTTTTCGCAATCTAATAAACCGAAACAACTTGGACTCATTCATACTTCAAAGAAACAAGATTCAATGCAAAACAATCCATGAAGTACTTCAAATTTCTCAGCTCAGCAATCCAGGCATCCCATATCACCTCATCAACCAAAATTTTGGAACAGTTGAAGCAGACACTACGTAAAATACTGAGAACAATCTTCATGAACCCTATGTGAAACATGGGCTTCGCAAGCTCCAGGTGGCCAAAGTGACCTGGGCACTCAGCCATGTTGGCCATACACGTCTCGCACTTCATCTTCCGATCAATTGTCCCCAGGCGTGGGTCGCTCAAGCCCCCTATCTTCGGTTTACCTCTTTCCGTGGTCTCGCTGTGCTCTATGTGCACAACCGACATTTGCCTCTGCAGAAAGAATCAAAATAACACAGCATCAATCAATTGATCCCAATTACGACCGTTCAAACACCCACTCAAACTGAACTTAGCTAAGGATATAGCAAAATAGAATTACGATCTCATCAGGGCTGAGTATGCCGAATTGGACCACGCGGACTTTGGCAACCTCCGCCGGGGAATATGGGAACCGCAGATCCATGGTGTGCCGTTAGACGATACGATTGCTAGGGCTTTTTGTGCCTCAATAATTAGGGTTCAGTAAGGATTTTCGCGATGCAAATGAATTATGTGGTTTCCCAAGCTTCCACTCTTCTTAGGGGTTGTCTCAATTGAATTGAATAATTCAGCTAACCGTTAACTTTCTGAGGTTTTATCAGCAACCGTGTTCGGGGTTTTGCCCCTTACAGAGGAAGGAGACTTCTGCAAACGACAAATACATGGGGATGAGGAGCCATTTATAGTCGCAGCGGCTGCCTTGGTCTAGACACGTTAGGATGCGTTTGGCTATTAAGGCGTAGGCACAATTTTAAGGTCTTTTATCCAGCCTTATAATTATATAAATGAATAAATAAAAATATACAGAATATATGTGAATCTCAGGATATATTTATTTGGGGATTATTATACTATAAGATGCAATATTCAATAAAAGTTTTACAATACACGAAAATAAATATAAATAATGTAAATATCTAAATACATACACGATACGTGGAATAAATAAACCAAATTTTAAATCTGAAAATATAATTTAAAAAAAAATCGTAAATATATTTCACTAAACATGTACAAAAATATCTAAATACATACACGAAAATATAAAAAAATAAAATATACGTTTCAAATTTTGAAATTAAAATAAAAATTCAAATAATTTGGCTTACAGTTTTATCATGCAGAACCAACTCGAGATATGATTTGTATGTGCTGCCCCAATCTTGGAAAAACATTCTCACAATTCGAACTTTGAGCATAGGTCTATTAGACCTATTGGCTTGTTTGATTAACCTAAATCCTTGATTCATTGTTTTGAATAAAAGACTGATTGGGGATATTTTTTGTTAGCAGGAGGTTGATAGTGAGGAAGATGATGACTCAATATTTTGAGATTTGTAATTTATAATGTGTAGAGTAGATATATATTGTTGTTAATAATTTTATTAGAAAATCTAAATTTGAATATACAGAATTCTGTTTGAACAAAATCAGAACTAATATCTATACAATTAGATAATAAATAGAGTCTTTTTTTATTTTAGTAAAGATTTTACGTACTTTTACTTATCAGATGTTATGGGGTTTTTTTGTTAAACAAATTTTATGGGATATAATACAAATACAATTAGAGAATTGAACAAAATCAGAATAGATTTCCATACAATTAGATAATAAGAAGGAATTAGATAAGGAAAAGAAGGAATTAAATAAGGAATTTTGAATCTGCTTTTTTGTTAGTATAGATAGACTTTACGTACAAATTTTGACTTCACTTTTATGGGATTTATTTTGACAAATTGATGTTAATATGGAATAAGACAAATAAATAAAGCCTTTTTTATTTTAGTAAAGATTTTACGTCTTTTTTTTTACTTATTAGATGTTATGAGATTTTTTTTTTCTTAAACTGATTTTATGAATGATATAGCCACACTGGCTCATAACGGTCCGTATCATCACGGTTCAGAAATTATTAAGTCGACTTTCGACTAAGTCGACGTACACATGTCGACTAACATAAGTCGATTTCTGCCAAGACGATGGTCAGACGTATCAGGATCCGCTAGTGATTGAATACGATCCAGTCGACTCGAGTCGATATCTCAGGTCGACTGAAAGGATCTTGCAGTGCATAGATCTCGACAGCTTTGATACACCTCAGCTTATTGAGGGAAAGTTAAGGATAAGAAGAAAGCTAAGGAAGGATCTAGATGCTGACTAGGAAGTAGGCAGAATACGAACCGACCAGGGTATTTTGGACATTTTCAGTAAGTCGGCCGGGGCACTTTGGGGACTTCAGGTAAATGTTGCACTTCTATATAAAGGACTGAGGTAATCCCAAAACCCTAACTCCCATTCATTCCATATTCTTTTCATTATTGCTGCTGCTCTCTCAGAGCAGCTCTCTTCGTCTCTCTCACATACTGACTTGAGCGTCGGAGGCTCTACGCCGGGAATCCCTCCGGCGTTGAGTTCTTGCAGGTGTTCTTGTGGTTCGATAGCAATTTGGAGACCATCAGGACAGATCTGAGCTCGTTCACATCGGTTCATTCCAGATCCGGGCGATTTTCCACCAGTTCACCCCAAATCCGGAAATAGACCCATCATTTGGCGCCGTCTGTGGGGAGTTCTTGAAGGAATTAAGAGCTTTACACCTAGCTTTGATCTGTTTCCGATGGCTGAGAAGGAAGGAGTGCAGAAAAACTTGAATGAAGATTTCAGGGCAACATGGACGGACAAGCGACCTCCTCCGATCCCCAGCCTTAGACCGCCACTCCAGGTGCTGGGGTTCCCACCTTTTGGGGCGCACGCGCCGTCAAGAGGGCGTATGGGAGAGGAGACGCCTATTACCCCACCCGGAGTCAAGATCCCGGTTCTCACCCAAGAAGAGGCCAATCACGTGAAGGACACGAGCGGAGGAGTGGATAGTCACGCGTCAACCGAAATATCTTTAAGGTTGGGGAGGCAACCTGGGCAACCTGATCAGGAGACAAGGCCACCGCTCCAAGTCGAGGAACAAACGCTGACCGTGACGAGAAGCGAGATGCAGAAAATGATCACGGAGGCAGTAGCGGCCCAACTCAAACAGACGCCAGTCGAGCAACCAAGGGTCGAACGGCCCAGGATCGAACAAGCAAGGGTCGAGCAGCCTCAAAATGAGCAGCAACTCCTTGAGCGCGAGCAACAGGCGCAATCACATGAGAGGCAGAACAAGAGGGTAGACGAAGAAGAGTCCTCTGTCAGGACTGTTAATCCACAAGCCAGAAACGATACCCTGGAGCAGCTGTTAGTGCAGGTCCGAGACTTGCAGGCTCGAGTAGAAGGAAGAAAAACGGGAAGCTCGAGGGGACATCCTTTTTCGCAACATATTCTAGACGCCGACTTGCCTCAGGGGTTCAGGGAGCTCAACATCTGGTATGACGGGTCGACTGATCCCTCTCGACATCTAAGGAGTTTCAAAAACATGGCAGTACTGCACCGTTATAACGACCCCGTTCAATTTCGAGCGTTCTTGACGACCCTGCGAGGACCAGCGCAGGATTGGTTTCACTAATTGCCCCCAGGAGCCATCAGGGACTTTGACGGATTTAGCTCGAGCTTCCTAAACCAATTCGCAAGTGTAAAAGCCCAAGAAAAGTCTTACCTTACTCTAATAGGTATGCAACAGAAAGAAGGGGAATCATTGAGGGATTATGTGACAAGATACACACGGGCATGCGTCGACGTCCCCTAGGCCACCGAGGAAATCAAGTCAGGAGGGCTCACTCGAGGGCTGCTCCCAGGGCTATGCAGAAACTCCCTAGCAAAGCGACCCGGGAGGACGTTCGACGAGGTGTTAGGAAGATGCGCCAAATACATGAATGTGGAAGAAGCTGAAGCGGACTTTCTGCAAGCAGCCAAGTCAAAAACTGAGTCTCGGGACGAGAAGAAGGATAAAAAGCCGGTCGCGACGACTGAAAGAAAGGGATCCCCGAGGTCTGAAAGAGATGGACGATCAAGGGGATGGAGGACAGCCCAATATACTCCTCTGTTAGCTTCGAATGCAAGGATACTGGAGGTTATGGAGAAAGAGATCCGTGACAATGTTTTCAGGTGGCCACGGACGAGAAAGGATGGGCCAACAAAGCCTAAAAGCGATCTGTATTGTCGATTTCACAAAGACTACGGCCATAATACCGATGAATGTCGACACCTAAAAAATGAGATTGAGAGACTAATCAAAGCGGGCCATCTGAAGGAATTCATTTATAAAGATCGAGAACGAACCAGTCGACGAAGGGAGAGAAGCAAAAGCCCTCACAAGAGGGCAAGAACACCCGATAAGGAGGAGCTTCCCCAGAAAAGAGGAATAATTCATATGATATTTGGAGGGCCAACCGATGGTGATTCAAATCGGGCTAGAAAAGCATATGCTCGAGGGCATCACGGAAAAACCGAAGTGCAACAGGTCGAGGAAGATGGTCAAGTGATGAATTTCGAACCAGCAGACATGGGAGCGGTCGAGAGACCTCACAACGATGCCTTGATGATCACAGCTCAGATATCGGGCTATGGAGTCCAGAGAATCTTTGTCGACACAGGGAGCTCGGTGAATGTGATTTTTTTTTATTGTCTTAAACGGATGGAACTCGACATTGAACTCTCACCTCTCCACACTTCACTTTTTGGATTTAATGGCTCAGAAGTCGCACCCCTAGGGGAAACCACTCTCGCTGTCGTCCTCGGGGAAGGCGACTTAAGGAAGGTGAAGATGGTGCGATTTGTCGTGGTCGACGTCGAGTCGGCTTATAATGTGATTCTGGGAAGGCCAGCACTCAACACATTCCAAGCAGTAGTGTCAACCTATCATATGAAGCTAAAGTTCCCCGTCTGGGATAAGGTAGGGAAGGCCCGAGGGGACCAGAGGCTGTCAAGAACCTGTTATCAGATTGCAGTAAGGACAAACCAACGAACGGAGGTGAAAGAAGGAAAAAAGTCGGTGTCGAATGAAAAAAGACGAAGGGAGAGTGATCTCTAGCCACATGGGTAATTAATGGAAATTCAAATCGAGGAGAAAGAGGAACAGACTACGAAGATAGGGCGAGAATTGGAAGAAGAGTTACGCCGACAGTTGGTGGGACTGTTGAAAGAATTCAGGGACATATTCGCTTTTTCCCCTGAAGAGCTAACAGGAATCGATCCCGATGTCATGGAGCACAAGCTTAATGTCGACCCCCTGAAAAAGCCCGTGAAGCAACGGCTTAGACACCATGGGGCAGAAATCGACAAAGCCATAGAAGTCGAGGTGGACAAATTGCTGAAAGCCAAACATATCAAAGAAATTCAATTCCCATAATGGATATCAAACACGGTGATGGTGAGGAAAGCACTAAATAAGTGGCGTATGTGTATTGACTTTCGCGATTTAAATTTAGCTTGCCCAAAGGACCACTACCCCCTGCCGAGAATCGACCAGCTGGTCGACTCCACTGCTGGTTGTCAATTGCTAAGCATGATGGACGCGTCCCAGGGGTACCACCAAATTCCCTTGGCTCCTGAGTATCAAAGCTAAGTTAGTTTCGTGACAAGCAAAGGGACGTATTGTTATGTCGTTATGCCTTTTGGACTTAAGAACGTAGGGGCAACATACCAAAGGTTGATGGATCGAATTTTCAAATCGCAAATCGGGCGAAATATGGAGGTTTACGTGGACGATATCTTGGTGAAAAGTAGGTCCTCGATTTCTCATGTAGAGGACTTAAGGGAAGCATTTACGATACTGAGAACATTTGGAATGAAGTTGAACCC